GGGTTTAGGGTTTAGGGTCACTTATATGCTATATGTAGGGCTGAAGGGATACAGGGAGTATCAGATGCAGCGAGTTTGGAGTTTTGGTTGGGCTTGCAGGCCCTAACTTAAGCACCGTGATCCCATATGGCCATCATTAGAATCATTAGTGGGTGGGGAACCCTCAGCCCAAAGCCCTAAAGCCCTAAACCCACAGCCCTTAAACCCTAAACCCGAAGCCCTCAAACACTAAGCCCTAAAGCCCTAAACCCACAGCCCTTAAACCCTAAACCCGAAGCCCTCAAACACTAAAGCCCTAAAATCCTAAAGCCCTATACCCCAAACCCTCTTGGAGCCGCCTGTCCCGGAAGCAGTGCGGCCGCAAGCCACTCCGCCACCTCCAACCAGCACTTCGGTTTAGGGTTTAACCTACACCCTAACACTCTAGCAGCCTAAACCTAAACCCCCAAACCCTAAAGTTTATGGTTTGGGGTCTTGGGGTTTAGGCTGTTAGGGTGTTAGGGTTTTGGGTTTGTTAGAGTGTATGGCTTTAGAGGCTTCTTTCCTTTGGCAAAGTTTAAGGCTTCAGGGTTGATGGTTCAGGGCTTGGGGGTTCGGGGTTTTAAGCGTTTTAAGCCTACGATTTACCCCATAGTGCCAGAGTGCACCGTCGAAAAACCATGGGTGCTTTGAGCTTTCTGCTAGATTTCATGGTAGTATGATTTTGCTACCATGGGATGTCAGTAGTACCGTTTCAGGTAACCTGAACCCTAAACCCTAAATAATAGAAAGATGGCCGGAACCTCACACTAGGAACGCCGAACCAATACCAGGTAATTCTTAGGAAATTCCTGGGAACATAAGCCCCCGAATATCAACGAATATAAGCTGTGTTTTTGTTCGGAAGCCCATCTCTGAATATAACTTCAACGGTTCCTACTGAAAGTTGTGGTACAGTACGAAGCTTGTTCCCAGGCTCATGTGTGAATATAACTGACGGGGTTCTCTACTACAACTTTGGGTAAGTAGCGGGTTCTGATACATGCTTCAGTGTGCTGATCTATACATCGTGAGTGGGCCTGAGGCTCTCGCCTACGGTATGGCCTGGTCCTAGCCACAAGCTGCTTTCGCACGGTCCGGCCAAGGATTCTTAGAATCCTTCCTGAGTTATGGTTTAGGGTTTAGGGTTTAGGGTTGAGGGCGCCGCTTTCGGCTCCTGCTTGGCAACAGCTGAGCTGGACTTGGGCGCTGCCGTTTTTCGACCGCGACCTCTTCCTTTCGGCACTGCAGAACAAGGCATCTGTCCTGTGCTGCCAGAAGCCCCAGCATCTGCAACTGGCTGCTCTCATTCTACTTCTGCCTCATCATGGCAACAGGCACCGGCACCGACATCTGCTTTGGCACCCTGAAATCCTTGGGCTTCCTGCTTCAAAACCTCCATGCAGCCACCCCTGATCCAGCCGGGCCTGCACCTTGGAGTCCACTTGCACTTACAAACTGCTGCGGGTCTGGATGGGCTTTCAAAAGGCTTTCAAAGGCTTTTCTGCACTACGCAGGCTTCCAAGTTTAGGGTTTGAGGGTTTAGGGTTTGAGGGTTAAGAATTTGGATTTGAGGGTTTAGAGGTTTAGAGGTTTGGGAGCTGCATGTTGAGGGGTTTAGGCGTGTAAGTCCGGTCTTGCGGATCGATCGTGTCAGGGTCAGCAAGTTCCGCTTGACGGGGCAGGGAAGTTAGTAGCAGGTTCTAACTGGGGTTGTAGCCCTGAGCCCTACCTGTGACCCCAAACTCTACGAAATAGTAGGTAATGACCCCTTAACTAGTTACAGGGTAGAACAGTAGAACCCTTAAAACGGTAGGTTTTGGATCCCCAAGTAAAACACTAAACAAAGAAGATAGCCGGATGGCAGCTATCGTAGCTTTACGTGCACTCACCCAATCTGCTGAGCTTGCAAGGCACCGTGGTTTCGGATGTGCAGCCATGGGTTTTGGGTTTAGGGTGCCACCTATATAAGGCTAGAGGCGATTTAGGGCTTACGGGTTGAGGGTGTCGCTTATACAGCTTATGGGCTTCTGCTGAACCTCTATAGGGCCTTTGTGTAGGACAAACTAGTCCCGAATGGCTTGAGCGTGCTATGGAGCGGATTTCTGAATCCTGCCGGCTCCCTGGGACGTGGCTCAGAGCTAACCCACCTGCCTTAACCTTGACGCACCCAGGCCAAACCTATATCGAACTTACAGACAACCCTACACCCTAAACCAAACATCAATCCCTAAACCTAAACATCGTAGTAAACCCTAAACCCAACATCAATCCCTAAACCCTATAAACCCTAAAGGCCCTAAACATCGTAGTAAACCGTAAACCAAACATCAATCCCTAAACCCTTAACACTGAACAGCATAGTAATCCCAAAACCCAACATCAATCCCTAAACCCTCAACAGCTTAATAAACCCTGCAAAACATCAAGAACAAAAGGCTCTCCTGCCCTCCCCCCCCCACAAACTCCCCGCTGGAGCGTCGTGACGTCACTCGTCATGAAAATGATATGAGTCATCTCTTTGGTTCAGGGTTCAGGGTTTAGGGGCTAGGGGTTGAGGGTTTAGGGTATAGCGGATAGGGTTTAGGGTTCAGGGGCTAGGGTTTAGGTTTAGGGTTTAGGGGCTAGGGTTTTGGGCTTAGGGGCTAGGGTTTAGGGTTTAGGGTTTTGGTCATGAAGACACGGCCGAACAAACGAGTTCATCTTGGACATGCTGGGGAAGTGGATGGGACGCAACAGATCACGAAGTTGACTTATCGTTGTCCACGAGCCCCGCTCAAGCGAGCCCCGCTGAGCTCTAGCAGGGCCCGATCCCTGTCTTCCACGCTGCAGCGAATCAGGCGATCCCCAATCAGGCGAGCCCCGCTCAGACGCCGGAGTGTGAGGGGAAAGCCGCTCGACGATGAAAGGCCCACGGTCCAGGGAATTCTTTCGGGCTCGCGCCACCAGCATCGATCAGTCTCTTGAAAAAGTCCTCGTCAGATCGTGGCTTTCAGCTGAACCGCCTTGTCGCTGTCGAGCTCGGCAGTCAGTGCGAACATCCCTAAACCAAGTCCCTGAACCCAAAACACCAAACCTAAACCCTAAACCCCAGAACATCAACCCTATAGCCCTTGAGCCCAAGACCCCAAACCCTGATAACCCTAAACCGCCGATCCAGACCCTAAGCCGGCATTCCTCAAAGCCCAGAATCTCTGAAGCCCGAAACCCTCAAACTCCCAGACCCCTAAACCCCGAAACACCTAAACCCTAAACCGTAAAAACTCCTTAACCCCTTAACCCCTAAACCCTAAACCCCTAAACCCCTAAACCCTAAACCCTTAAACCCTTAAACCCTAAACCCTTAAGCCCCTAAACCGCACAAAAACTCCAAAACACCCCTTGGCCTGTTCCAAGGGCCGCCCGGAGAAGACTTGGCAGAAAGCGCCTTGGCTGAGATTTTTAGGGCCTCTTATGCTTTGTAAGACTTCTATCCCTAGGGTTTACCCATAGGCCCCATAGTAGTTCCTTCTTGTGGCTTATATTTAGGATCCTATTAGGTAATCCCAAAAAGCAACTACTATGGGGCCTATGGGTAGGGTTTAGAGTTTAGGGTCTTAGCCATCGGAGCCACAATGATGCGACGGTGCAGGGCTAAAGGCTTCGGGCTGGAGGTTTAGGGCCAGGGGCTTTGGGGCTTGAGGCTTACCCTAAGGGTCCAAGTAGTCCTTATTTATGGGTTTTAGGTACCCGAAAAGGCCCCAAAGTCCTTAAATAATGGGTACTTGGACCCTTAAGGTTAGGATCTCTCCGCTACGGGAAGATCATGCTCAATTCAGGTCGAAGTGCATAGCCCCTCCTGGGAAGACTTTTTATTTTTTGGCAATGGTTCAAGATCTCAACATTGCAGTGGGAAAAAGCATGTTTTGGCTGCTGGCTTGTACCCCCCACCATGAAGACGCATGACAAAGAGCTTGGAGCTCACCGAAGCTGATGCCCACATCGGGTTGCTATACTTTCGGGCAGAAAAACATTGAAGGGCCTAATCACAGCACCTGATGTTGTAAATCCTGAGTCCTTAACTCCCAAAACCCTCAACTTGATTTGCACAGTGGAGGGAGAGAAGGGAGAGAGGGAAAGAGAGAGAGAGAGAGACAGAGACCCTAAACCCTAAACCCTAAACCCCAAGCTGGGTCGGCGAGGTTCAGGGCCAAAAGCAGAGGAAGGTCCTCCTCGCTCCGCCCGGTCCACGTCCTCCATGTCTGCGGCTCAGCGTGCTTTGAATGTCGTGAGAGCACGGGCTCTTTGCAGTTTCTGCAACTGCTCTGCTCGTTGAACTTGCCGCGCATGCTCTGCTTGCAAGAAGCATTGCATGGTAATCGCGGTTTGGTCTGCTTTGTCATCGTTCTCATCATCCCAGTGGTCCCCGGACCGTGTCGCGCGGCCCCCTTTTGGCCATGTCAGGTGGGGCAAAGGCCCCTGCCCCGGCTGTGGTCGAAGCATGGCTCTTGCACGGATCAGAGGACTCTAAATCCTTAACCCTAAACCCCGGAAGCGTTCCTGTAAGCTTGAGGTTTAATGTAGGGGCCTCCACACTTAGAAGCGAGTTTTGGGTGTAGTATAGTATAACTACAGTAGAGAACCCCAAGGACTAGCCTTACTAAGCCTTCACACGTCCAGATATATCATAGGCAGGTGGCCTCTGAGAAGACGCACAGCCTTTGGCGCCGCAGTTCCCGGATTTCGGAGGGCGGAAATACAGGCGAGGATGCGACGGCAGTCCTCGTCCAGGCTTTCGTTGAGCTCACATACACCAAATACCCAAACGAAGAGACGCCGAGGAAAACATCACACAATGAAGTGCGCGAAGAATTGACTGTCTGTACTTGCGATAAGAAAGGCACGGAAAGGAATGGTTGGCTGCTGGAGGTAATTCTGAAGCCCAGTCACTACCTATATTATAGGGTCATACCCTACCCTGATTTCGGTGGTACCTACTTTTCGACGGACCAGATCCTAACTGTAAAACCAGGTACCCTAAAAAACGGGCAGAATCTGACCCCCCCTAAAGGTAAGCAGGCCTGGGTGTGAAGTAAAGGTCCTAAGGTCCTGTGTGTAGGTCTGGTGAGATGCAAGGGTTGGGTTCCGGGCCAAGAACTAAACGCTGAGCTCTACCTACAGTCTCGATTGTACTTCCTATTTTGAGGATATCTTTGGGATCCCAAATTTCCCGCAAAAAGGAGCTACAATGGAAACTGCGGGTAAACTCGATGACTTAGGAGCTCTGAAGCTGGACATTGATTGCACAAAAGCTCCATGCACACACACACACACATTTTGCATATGTATGTATGTATGTATGTATGTATGTATGTATGTATGTATGTATGTGGGTAGGTATGTATGCATGCATGCATGTATGTATGTATGTATGTATGTATGTATGTAGGTACGTAGGTATGTACGTACGTATGTACGTATGTATATACATATACATATATACATATATATATATATATAAATGTATAGATATGAAACATATACACATGCCCATGTGCGTTTTTTAAGAACATACAGAGTCTTGCATCTGTCTACTTACGCACACGGATGGAGACAATGAGCCCGATATTTGGGTTTTGGGTCCAAGGTTTTTGTGTTTAGGGGTTTTAGGTTCTGGGTTCAGCCAAGCCTAAACCACCCTGAACACCCAAACCCCTCAAGATGCAAAGTCCAAATTAGGCCCTAAGCTGACACACAATTAAAGGCAAAACCAAATCCCAAACTCAAACCTCCTAATCCCGACAAAGCCCAGAACCTCGAAAGAAACAATCGACAAAAGCAAGCACACCCAACGGTTCTTTAACCCTAAAACATAAAAACATGGAAGCCTGAATGATTAGCAACGCCCGTCTAGAGGGTTTCGTGCTATGCATATTCCTCAGTACATTATACGCCCAATCCCGACTGTCCTTGTGAAAGCCCGTTTTTTGACATGTGGGTCGTTCTCTAAATTAGGGTCCCTTTTTGGGTCCCCAATACAGTACGGCACCCTTATAAAAAGGACACTAAAAGGGACCTATTTCAGAGAACTACCCATGTAATTCCTCACAAGCTTTTTATATAAGAGTGCCGTACTATAGTGGGGACCTAAAGCGGGACCCTAATGTAGAGAACTACCCACTTGCTCACAAGCAGACGATGCAGTTCTGCCTCCTCCTCAGACCCACCCAAGCAGGCCAGGAAGGTCGGGACCTGCCGAAGACTCGTCGGGGAACCTTCCAAAAGCTAGGGGTAATGTAGGGTTTTTAATAATTGGGATCGGGTGTTGGGCCCCATTATACTATAACTACAATAAGGTAATGTAGGGGCTGAAACTTATAAAACTTAATGTCGGGACACTTAATAATTAGAAAAGGGTTTTGTGCCTCATTATACCTATAACTATATAATAAGGAGCCCCCACAATAGTAGAGGTAGTTACGAAGGCCCCTATAGTAGCTCATATGTTCCGGGTTTCAGCGGCTTCCCACTCTCCTTTCAAGCTATGCAAGAGTTACAAGGCCTTTAGGTGCCACTTCACTTACACAGCCTACAGCAACCTACATGACATCAGGGTGCTAGAATCATGCTTCTCCTTGACGGCCGCCTCACAAACGCAACCGTGCTAGGATTTAGGGGTTGAGGGTCTTGTTGTAGGGCTGCCGGTCTACGCACGAGTATCCACCGCATGTAGCGTGAAATCCTCCTGTCTTGTTTGTGGTACGCTGTCTCCAAGCACTACTGGTCTTATGTGCTATACCAACAGCGCGAAACAAATTCTGACATCCACCGATCCACATACATGCATTTCATATTTCATCCAACAGTTGCCAGCTCGAAGTACACCCCTAAACCCTAGACCCTAAACCCTAAACCCAAAGCTTTGTCCATAGCCTAAGCCGATGCTACATGTCCAATATAAAGCACGCTCGCTCGTTGTCTCCAAAAAACCGCACCTCGGCCGTCCAATCCCAAAGGGTGCAAGTACCAAAAGGGTTTTGGCTTCAGGGTTTGGGGTTTAGGGTTTAGGGTTTAGGGTTTGGGGTTCAGGGTTTAGGGTTTAGGGCTTGGGAATTAGAGTTTAGGGTTATACCGCATGTTTGCGCACAAAAACTTCATGTACTATACTGTTACCTGGACCCTTTGAGGACCGTCCAATGTGCGATATACATCATGTTTAATCATGAACTCATATTTAGGGATCCCTAATAAGATTTAATTTAAAGTGTATTACCTTAAGCAAGGGGGATAATCAAAACCTTAAACTACTATCACCAAATTTTTGGTAGGTTCTTACCATAAACCATAATATGGAATTTGTAAGGACCCTACCAAAAAAAAGGTAGGTTTGGTAGGGTGAGGACTACGAGCGGAGCCGATCCGTGCCTGAGCGCTTAGCATCTCCATCGTTTCGACCGGGTCGCCTCTTGTCAGCAGGGGGTTAAGACGGGATTAAGGTTTGGGGTTAAGATGGGTAATATAGGGGCCTTAATAATACAAACAGAGGTTTGTTGGGGTACAATATACTAGTTATTTAAACCCCTATAGTTTCGGGTTTCGGTTTTTGTTGGGTCTTAGGGTCTAAGGGTTTTGGTTTCCAGATTGCGTTTGTGTGTTGGTGTGTGGGAGTTTGGGGGCATCATGGGTAGGGTTTGCGGGCTTTGGGGTCTGCAGGTGGCATTCTGGTGTGCTGGAACCTAACCTTAAAGGCGTAACGCCTAGATCCCAACCGTTTGGGTTCAAGTACCTCATAATCTTTGAAGGATCCCTTGGAAGACCGATTGGGGTCAAAGTAAACAGGGCACTCACAGCTCCCACCTCTTGCTGCGCATTCTCCCGTGGGTGTCCCTTTCTGCAGCTGCATGAAGAACTCACGGTGGTACCTAGGTGTGATGGGGTTCTGAAAAAACTTTCTCGGCATCCTAAAAGAAGCGAATTATAGGGCTAAACCCTAAACCCTAAACCCTGAACCCTAAACCCTAAACCCTAAACCCTAAAGGGTTACGCGCGCTTGCTACGGCTTGCTATATAATCGGGATCTTGCCGGGCTTCGGGCATTGGGATAGTATTTAGGGTTTAGGGTTTAGGGTTTAGGGTAGTATGATTCTAGATTTTAGCTGGAGGCTCAGGGGACTCAGTAAGTGAGTTTTGATACCTGGTCCTGGTCGAAACTGCAATAACCCTGGATAAACCCTAAACCCTACGCCCTATCCCTAAACCCTAAACCCCAATCCTGGATAAGGTACGATAAGGCACCGGCCCTACGCAGTCTGGTGCCCACGGCTTCCCTGAGCCGCCACGAACCCTCAAGCCGAAAGTGACCCAAACTCATAAGAACCGGAAACCCGGAACCTTGCACACTCTAACCCTAAACCCCAAACCCCTACACCCCTAACCCCTAAACCCTAAACCTTAAACCGTAGTTCCTAAACATGGCCCCAAGACAAAACCATGAATCAGGATCGCCAGCCAGAAAAGGGCTCTTTAGCAGCCTTCACTTCGGATGCAATATAGAGGCCTTAATAATTAGAATAGGGTTATGGGGTGGTTTATAGTCATAACACGGAACGCGCACAATAATATAGGTAATTATTGAGGCCCCTATATTAAAGGGTTTAGGGCGCAATGTGTGGCATCTGGGAACGGAGCTCTGTAGTAGCCCAAACAACTCCAGAAGGTAGAGTGGTATTAAATCGCCGCGTGCCCATGTTGCGGGTGTGGTATTCCGGACGGCCCAAAAAGCTAAACCAAGCCGTGGCTCCCCAAACCACACCGCTGAGTCACCAACCTGCACCCCATGCAGTACTCCGATTTGAACTCAACACCCGAACAACCCTGAACCCAAAGTCCTGCTACTTCGAACTCTTATGATAACACCCCAAGCCCAAAACCCAAAACCCGAAAACCCTGAACCTAAATGCCAGGCTGCTTCGACACCCAGGTATCTCCGTGGCTACTCTCCTCTTCTGACATGGATGTTGAGGTTTAGGGTTTAGGATTTTCGGGTTTAGGGTTTAGGGTAGCCCCAAAGCCGACACTATAGTAGGTTGGGGCTCCTTATTTGTAGGGTCTCACCATCAAAGCAGTAGGTTATTATATCCCCAGCTAGACTCCTCAAGCCCAAAGCCCAAAGCCGGTTTAGGATCCAGGGGTTTATGGGTTTTCGGGTTCAGGTTTTATGGGCGTGCAACTGCAAAACCAGCTTTCAGGTTTTAAAGCGTGGGGTCTGCAATAAGAGCAGGAATGGCGCATGAGGAAGGGCTCTCCCAGCCTTTACTTCTAAGTCCTGTGTCTAAGTCTAAGGTTGAAACCATGGGCCCTTCGTATGGGCCCTTAACCCTGGGATCCTTTAATACACCGACTATATACCCTATATGTACCCTGAAATGGGTCCATATTAGGGGCCCATACTTCTAACGGGTGTTCGGTAGCTTCCGAAATCGACATGTGCCCTGACCAGCCCAAACCCAAGCACAAAACCTTTACTTCTGCAATCCCTGCTTATCTCGAGATATGCTTTTGGGAAACTCCAAAACTCCTCGGTCTGTATCATTCCTCAATAAAGACGATGAAGAGGCTCCTCATGTTACGAAATGGTTCTGGTTGAGTTTAAGGAGCAGTTCTTCACACAGGATGTTCGAGTCCCTGGGTATGATCGCAGAACCCCTGAACCCAACATCCCGAAAACAACAACGCCTAGGAAAGCCTGGAAGACTCTCTCTTATTGTAAACCCCTCACCAACCTTCAACCATAAACAGAGAAACAAAAACAAGACACACCTCACTTAAGCACCTATGATCCCTAAACCCTAAACCCTAAACCCTAAACCCTAAACCCTAACCGCCCTAAACCCTAACCCTTAAGAACCTTTGATCCCTGGGCAAGGGATTGCCTGCATGAAGGCCGTGTATCCGGTGAGGAGATTCTCCTTCCTCGGCGTGGCGCCCTGAAAAGCTCGGGGTGCATGAGACTTAGGTTTAGGGTTTAGGGTTTAGGGTTTAGGGTTTAGGGTTCAGGGTTTAGGGTTCAGGGTTTAGGGTTTAGGGTTTAGGGTTCAGGGTTTAGGGTTCAGGGTTTAGGGGTTTCATTCAGAACTGCCACCACATGCCGATTGCTCGGGATGAGTCCCGGAATGAGGAGTGGAAAAGGCTGTAAATATGTGAAACATACTCTAAGGGCCGAAACAATTAGAATAGGGTTTTGGGGTATATCATACTATGGTTTTCAATAAGAAATCCCGAAACTAGTATAGCTAATTATTTAGGAGGTCATTTTTGCTCCTATATTACGCACGCAGTCCACTTAGAGCATCGCAATGGGGACTCAGGTCTCACATGCAGTGTCTCGTGTGGAAAACAAGGGTTTAGGGTTTAGGGTTTGGGGTTTAGGGTTTAGGGCAGTTTGGAGTTAAGGGCTTTGGGTTTGGGGTTCAGGTTTGAGGGTGTAGGGCCTTCCGAATGTCGGCAGTAAGAACAGGCCTTGCTGTCTGCAATCGCGCGCATGAGCAAACGTATCATCTGGCCTGGGCAAGGTCGTCTTTTGCCAACGGAGCAGCGGAGGCTTGCAGATCGACAGGAATTGCAAGTGCCTGCGTATGTTGAGTCCCACAAAAACGTCCGAGTGCTGCCAGCTGCATATGAGACATTCGCATGGTTTGATGTCCTGTGTTTCCGATTTTGGTATACCATCCGATGAATGCCGAACTTGTCTGACCCTGCGACGAAAGCAGCTGGAACACGGCCCTTGCGCCAACGATACCGATTTCAGTCCCACAAGGGATCCTTGAATCCGAAACGAGGAGCCCGATAGACTCGGTATCCTAAGCCAAACAAGCCGTAGACCATAAGCCTTTGGCCTCCGGAAACTGCTGCGGTTTAGGGTTTAAGTTTAGGCGTTGAGGTTTAATTAGGGTTCTTAGGGAACCTAGGGACCTAGCATGAGCTACCCCGACAAGGCTGTATAGACATAAAGTCCTTGCTGTTAAAGTACCTGTACCCCCAAGAACCTACCTTCTTAGCATCTGTACTATGGTTCCGTTACACATTTGGGAATGATTGCGCAACCCCAAACCCGAAAACCGCGGAATTCAATGAGACTCTCCTTCCAGGGTGAGGCCACCAGCTGGCAACCCGCGGTGGTAGTGGTAGCCTGAGGCTTTGTGCTGCTTCGGGTATCGGTTTTAGGGCATCTAAGGGCTGCTGCTTTGGGGTTTAGGGTGTTTCGGGTTTCTATGATTAGGGTTTCGGGGGTTTGTTTGCCTTTGTTTGGGGTTTGAAGGTCTCAGGTGGAGGGGTAGTTTGGGCTTTGTTGTAGTGTACGAGGGCACCGTTTCCTTCCCTTCACGAAAAATTCTGCCTGGCCCAGGAACCTTAACCTAAATAGAAAACACCGGCCTTTGAGGACCTTTTTTTCTTGGCCCAAATAGTGCCCCGTAGAGAACCCGGAAAGGAAGCCTATTAAAACTAAATTGTTAAGGCGCTTTTTAAGGCCAGATAGGGCCCCTTAGAGAAACTTCAAAGAAACCCTGATCTAACTAATTTGTGAAGGCCCAAACATTAGAGCATCCACCGACAACTTGCTAAGTCGAACTGGGGTTTCCCAGGTAGTTCAAGGCTTAGGGGCTTAGAATCTAGGGTTTAGGGTTCAGGTGGTTTAAGGCTGAGGGTTTAGGGCCAGGAATTCAAAGCACCGAAATTTGGAGTATGGAACAACTGCAACGTGCACAACAAACATGTAGCCAGGAAGCATGCGCAGGGAACACTTATTTCATCGTCAAAACAGTTTGAAACTACCTAAACCCTAAACCCTAAACCCCAATTGCAATCTCAACTCGAACCCTACACCCCGGACTTTGCTCCAGACTTGAATGCTGCACGTGTTGAGGGCTTAGAAGGTTTTTGAGTGTGCATTGCAAGAGCATTTCAAGACTGCGGTAGATCACAGCGAAGTTACCACTGCTGTTGAGGGCAGCTCAAACCCCACGGACTCCGTCACTATAGGCCAAGAAAAGTGAGGGGCAAACAAGGGGGAACGGCTGAAAGGAGGAACCCCCGGGGGCCTGTGACGAAGTTCGAGGACACCAGGGCTCCCAAGACGAAGTTTGTCGAAGCTAGGTGGGTTCGTGGTGGGGTTCGTGACATAAGGGCTTTCGCCGAGAAATCAGCAATATGTCTAGATATGAAAGATCCGGAAACCCAAATGGGCTGCTCGAAAACACTTGCCTGATGCTGACAGATTGAACCTTGAAGACTGAAGATATACGACCCTGAGAAACCAAACTCCTGCACACTCCAAGCGCTTTGCCCTGCTCGGAATTGCTTGAGTCCCACTCAGCCAGCGAATGTAACGGGTTGAGGTTTATCAGATTGTTGGGGGTTTGGTGTTGTTTTCTTCATATAAAAAGAAAGGAGTTCGGGGCCTATTCAAAAAAGCTTTAGAGTTTGGGGGTTATGGAAGTGGCGACCTCCGATACTTGAATAAACCGTCCAAAGCTGAAAACCTGAAACAGATGATGCGATTGGGGCTTTGAGGTGTCATCGTGGCTAGCTGAATTGTCGGCTTGTTGCCCTCGGATTTAAGGAGCGCGGTGTAGGGTTTGGGGTTGAGGGTTTATGAGTTTAGGCTTCAGGTTTTGATAAATAGGGAGTCGCGAGCGCCCTCACTCGGCTGATGTCGCATCCAGCCTCAGCGATGCAGAGATCTCGGAATTTCGGCAAATTCACAACAGATTTGGCATTGCAATATAAGCACGTGAGCAACCGATAACTCTATTTTTCCCCAACCCCCAGCAGCCGCCGTGACTGCTAGCACCCCGAGCTTGCTTCACAAGCTGACCCAAAATAGGCCCTGTCAGCTGGAGCCGTCGCCGATTCATGGTTTGACTTGAAGCTCTGCAAATGTCACGCTGACAAGTATTGGGAGATACAGACGCCCCTGTCATCAATCGGCGAAGCTCAGGCTTGCTTTGCAAGCTCAGCCTCGAGCTCTCTCACCACCGGATCATTTGATCCTGGCAGCATGCCAAGCGCCCCACCAAAACCGCTTGGGAGGTGGGGACGAAGCAAGCGCCCCACCGAAACCGCTTGGGGGAGGTGGGGGCGAAGCTGTAAAAGCAGCACCCGTCGACTTGGCAGGCGAAGCTGTGCTCGGCGGGCTCGGACTCGGACTGCCAGCCTTGCTTGGAGTAGCATCACTCTTGGTAGGAGTGGTCTGAGATCCTCCCCCAAGCTTGGGCATTGGGACGCTCTCCAGCCAGTAGGGGGCCTTGAGATGCTTGGCCACGTCCGTGTTGATGTCATGCTTCACGATCGTGTTGACGTCCACTTTAACGACATCGTCCTTGAGAAATGCTTTGTGGTGATTGCCAGCATTGACAAGGACCGCATCGGCGCTGATCACCTTGGGGAGCTTGAACTCCATACCAGAAATGTGCCACAAGATCCGCTCGCCGGAGTCTTCCTGCAGCTGCAAGGACCAGTACCCATTGCTTTTCCAGATGTCCTGCGAGATCGGAGAATAGAGGGCGGGAAAACGGGAAAATGTGGGAAACACGAAGGAGAAGTAACCAAACCTAGGGGTCACTCAGCTTAAACCCGACTTGATTTGCAGTCGAATCCTCCAAGGTTGTGTCGTCGTCCTGCGGCTCCCACGATGAGAGGCGCTTGCGATTCTCGACCCACTGCTCCTTGAACCACTGCAGAAGTGCCTGCTTTTTTTTGGTCACCAAGGCAGATGACGGGTCCACGTTGACAACGAAGCCGAGGACCTCGGCCCAGTCCGACTTTTTGACCTTCTTGAGGCGGCCAAAAAACTCTGCCAAGTGAGGCAAGAGCTCCTGGAGCAATGGCTTCACAAACTGCTCGGGATGAAGCAAGGAGACCTTATTCTGCCACGCAGGCAGAACCTCCTCCTCTGCGGTCCCATTGGTGTCGCCCGAATCCAGGTAGTCGTAAGCTCCCGCCTCGACGGATTTCCAGATAAAATCTGCAGCCCTCGGATGCTGTCCCAGCCAGTCGGTAAGCTTATCCAAGTCCCGGCTCTTCAATTCTTCCTCCTGGCTCTTGGTGATCTTCGCGAACTTGTCCCGGAGCTGCTCTGTTTTATCCTGGGCCGACGCTGCCCTCTTCGCACGAGCACGAGTGGCAGGACCGTTCCCTTGACCCTTCTTGCCCGCCATAGTGTCGATGGCACTACAGCAGCGGAAAAGCTACCTCGCTTCAGTGAGGAAAGGGCCAAGCTCGGGAATGCAAACACGTTTCCAAAGACAACATGTGGCAAAGCGCAATTCAGAAACGACCTGTCACCAATGAGCTGACGTGGCAGAACTCGCAAACGACCTGTCAAGGATGAGCTCCCGGCCGTTGCCCGTTGAATGTACCTGCGGCGGATTGGAGGTCATATTTCACATGTCTCTGTGTGCCACCGGACTATGCACTCAAGGACGTGCTGCGCTTTATTCAACTCCACGAACTGGAAATCCGATGCTGTACAGACATGGTAGCTGCTGAGCGGCTGCTGCTGCGAAAGTACCGAGTGAATGGCCTCTCCACTAATTTGGGTGATTCGGGTATGTGGCATTCTTAAAGTTTAAAGTTTAAGTTACCCGGCTACTCCATGCAATACATGATTAGGCACCCGCTCCATTCAAGCTCGGAAGACTTCCTCGAAATCATATGGATTTGCAGCCAGCGGGTTCAGGGAACAGTGACGTTCCCAAGCACGGGTGAGAAGGAACACCAGGCAGGAGGCATCTTTCCCGGAAGGGCCCCAGCTTTTGCTGAGACTCCAAGAGCCCTTTTTGAGTCGCCAGCACTTATTAAAGAGGTCCCTGTGCAGTCTGTATTTGCCCGGTGCCATCTCCTGAGCAGCAGCTTCGGTCCACGCAAAGTCTGGCTCGTACCGGACTTTCTTCCGCTTGATTTTCGGAGCCTCAGCCCCTTCTGGATTGCGGAGCTTCCGGATTTTTCGAGTGACACTTGTTTGTGCCGCTTGCTTCGCCGCAGCGCTCTTCAAGAAATCATTTCGCATTTGTTCCTCTTCTTTGGAAAAATTCTCACGAACCAGTTCGTTCTCCAAGAGATCCACAACCTCTGACTCATCAGCTTCCCGCTGATGCAGGTTGTCTTCCAGAATGTTGGCGACTTCCTTGGGAGTGATGCCCAAGGATTCCTGGATGCAAGGCGCGAGCACCTCGCCCAACAGATCTTCGCCTGTCGTGGCTTCCAGGTTCTGACCAAATTCCTCCTGCGGTATGACATTGAAAAAGACATGTCCTAAGCCTACTTGCTGGGTATATTCCAAAGCATTAATGAACGAACCCGGGAAACCGACATCAACAACCAGAGCACAGATGGGGCCTGGAGAGGCAACTCGAGGATATCAGCAGAAACGTCAAAGAATGCGTTGTGTGCACAGTGTTGAAGCAAAGGCCGGGGCTTGCCTGTTTCCAGCCAAAAGAACGGGTTCTCATCAGGAATATTCAAGCTGCTGCCCTTCGCGAGTAGCACCCCCAAATGTGTTGGAGACACCACCTTTGTCTGAGCCACCTCCCAGGTGTCAAACTGGTAGACGCTGGCCCATCGCAAGCATCCCCTGCTGAGGTTGGGCTTCAGGCCAAATGCATAGACGCCTTTCTTCAGTTCTTTTCTTTGCATTGGCAGCAGCAAAGTGGCCGATCCTTTGGGCCAAGGTCCAGTCGACATGAACCAATCCTTCTGGCCCTTCTCCTTGCAGATCAGCCCGCTCACCATGAACTGCGTCCGCCAGGACGCCGTCAGCTGGTCCAGCTTCCCAGCCTTCCTCAGGCTCACCATGGCATGCAGCTCTGCTGCGACAGTAGGAGCAACCAGCGGCTGTAGTGCGGGCCACGGAGTTGCCCTGCCTGTCAGCTCGGACATCTTGGGCATGCTGGGCTGTTTCAGCTGAGTGTGAAAAAGACTGTCAGGAATGCTGGGCGCCAAGTCCGCTGCCGGAGCTTCAACTTCACGGTAACCAAAACGCTTCATGACGCCACCCCGGGATGCGGTGGACCACACCTCGATGCTCGACATTTTGGCAGCTTTGCCATCCGTCTTTTCGGCCGACCGCATTTCTGAGAAAGCCTCCTCGTTGTAAGTTGCGCCAAAGTGCATGCAACACTGCTGCAGGTA